GCGAAACCGGGCTCCGCGCAGCAGCGTCGCCCCGCGCCGCTCCCGTCGCTCCTCATCGTCCCCCGCCAGCAGAGGGGCCGCTGCCGCCGTCGCCACGGTCTGCCCCGGAGTCCCTGCGGCGCGGCGCGGAGCGGCGCTCGGCGACTCCACTTCCGGCCCGTGCTCGGGTGTCGCCGGCAAATGCCCCCGCCGGCTCCCACATAACCTGCTCTCGGTCTCCCTCCCGTAGCGGGCCCCCAGCCCGCCCTCCTGGGCATGCGCAGAGACCGCGGTCCAGGGAGTCGCGCGACGGTGGCCTTGAGGGCTAAAAGACCTTGGCGCCGCGGGCCCGGCGCTGCTCGGTGGCTAGAAGCCCAAGGCTTTTCCTGGTCTGGGAGCTTGCAGAACCTGACGATCAAACCCTAGACTTCCAGGGCGGGAGGGCCAGAGCTGACCAGCGGCGAGTCACCGAGAGAGACCACCCTGCAGCCCTTTGAGACAGTTTTTACCCAAGAAGTGATGTCTCCCGATAGCGTATTAGTATGTGAGTTGAGTTCCAAAATTCAAAGTGCTATGGACTGTCAAGGCACTTACAGGCCCGAATCTGGAACAATCGGAGGACCTTTTAAAGAAAAAGAATGCAACCTTTTTTTTTTTTTTTTTTCAGTTTTTCCAAAAGCACAATATCATCGGAACACACTGAGACCCCACCCGAGGCCTTGAAACCTAGGTTTTCATTAGCTTCACCGTCCAACCGTTTTGTGCCAAACCTTACAGTTTACAGATGTTATTTCCCGTCAGTTCTCGGTCATACCCTGTTCTGTGTATCCTTTGTTATATACAGAGAAAATTTCCTTAGTCTGTATCGTCATTTCTGAAGTTTTTAACACATATATCTTGCTACCAGGTAAAGAGTTCCAAGCCAAAGCTGGGCTCCTTGACCTAGAGCTTCCAAACGTTAGCAATCGCTAAAGCACTCCATTTATATAATCATCACAACAACTCTACATGATGTTTAGAAAGCCTTGGTTCTTTGAACTAAGCACCTAAAGCAACATGCTAGCGAATGAACTTTGAATTAATACGAAGTCTGTCTAGCCCGTGGTTCTCCAGTAACAAAGTCCAATCTCCCAGTGTAGGAGCTCAGTAGATGTTGAACAAGACAGAAGTGTACACAGACACGAGCCCTTTCATTAGACCAGCAACCGAAGTCTCTAACATTGCTAGGAAGTATAGTACAATAAATAAAGTTTAATAGTAGGTTAGAGAAATTGCTATGCACCAAGCAGAATCCCTTGGCTTTACAACATTGTGGATAACATCAGACAAATATTCATATTAGTGAATGACACTTGCAAAGAAAATATGTTAAGCTTGGGGCCGGGAAGATAGCTCAGCACAAGGGCTTGAGTTCATTCCCCGGTTCCGGAAAAAAAAAAAAAAAAAA